TATTTATTTATTTATTTTCACTATCAGAAAAAGACATAAGCGAGCCCGAGGTCAGGATGGTGAACGGGAAGCCGAAGAAAGTGAGAAAACCCCGGACCATTTACTCCAGCTTCCAGCTGGCCGCCCTGCAGAGGAGGTTCCAGAACACGCAGTATCTGGCGCTGCCGGAGAGAGCCGAGCTCGCTGCCTCCCTCGGACTCACGCAAACACAGGTGGGATTTAACTGCTTTATATTTTTAAGGAGAAGAAAATTGTCCTAAAAAAAAAAAAAAAGGAAAAAAGAAAAAGTTTTACTCATTATGCACTTTTATGCATTGTATATATATATATATATATATATATATATATATATATATATATATATATTATATATATATATATATATATATATATATATATATATATATATATATATATATATATATATATATATATATATATATATAAAACCGAAAACTCGACAGTGTTATATGCTGACACGCCTTCATTTCGAATCCAATATTCAGGTCAAAATCTGGTTCCAGAACCGAAGATCGAAGATGAAGAAGATCATGAAAAACGGAGAGCTTCCCCCAGAGCACAGCCCGAGCTCCAGCGACCCCATGGCCTGCAACTCGCCGCAGTCCCCGGCCGTGTGGGACGCGCAAGGCCCCTCCAGGTCCCACAGCTTACAGCCGCAGAGCATCAACGCGGCGGCATCTAACTTTCTGGACAACACGTCGAATTGGTACTCCGCAGCCGGAAGCTCCATGGCCCCCCACCTTCAGACCCCGAACTCGATACAGCACTCGTTGGCTCTTGGAGCTGGGACGTTATATTGAAAAGAAAAAAAAGAAAGACAAAAAGAAAAAGAAAAAAAGAAAGAAAAAAAAGAACCCCTCCTGTTGTTTTTATTTTTTATTTTTTATTATTATTTTTCTATTTTTATTTCCTGTCATGGGACTCGTGTTCACATTTCAGAGGAATATGCAATGTATTTCATGGCAGTCATAGAGGAAAACGTGTAAAATGTGTAAATGTGTGCATGTAATTTATTGCATTTTGGAAGAATATTAAACGTTTAAATGGACAATGGAGCTTCGAACCCTCACGCCTCCCTTCAGTATCTCTTCTTCCCTCCAGCCTGAAATATTTCATGTGAAATGAAATAGGGGGACAAAAAAAAAAAAAAACCACCAACAACAACAACTAACAAACAAACAAAAGGCGCCTCGAAGACAAAGAGAAAAATCGTGCGCCTTAGGCGACATGTCGGCTTAACTCTCCGCTGTATCAAACAAATACTAGAATTCACTCATTTCAGTCGATTTCTTTTGTTCCGTCCTTTACGCGGTTTTATTGTACTGACTTCAAAGTGCATTCATTATGACTGTAAACGACAACAGCAACAAAATTAGACGCTGTATCGGATGTATCCAACCGATTTCTCTGGATGAGGTCGATTTATTCCTCTAATGGGCCGCACATTTCGGACAAGTCAGAAAATCGTCGATTAATCATGGAGTAATTGTGTTGCTTCTGACGGGTTTCCCGCAGCAGTGAACTGCAGTGATTTCTGCGGCTTTTAATTTCCCCATAACAGCTGCATGACTTGCAATGAATGTGGTTTATTATAGATAATTTTAATTATTTTATACTACTACTACTACTACTACTACTACTACTACTACTACTACTACTATTATTATTATTATTATTATTATTATTATTATTATTATTATTATTATTATAACACCTGACAATGATTTTATTGTGTATTATTATTATTATTATTATTATTATTATTATTATTATTATTATTATTATTATTATTATTATTATTATTATATTAAAAAGTGTCCTTATTCATATTGTGTCTCAGTGTAGAGGATGGTTGGGTCTCTTTAAGTTATTTCCAGCGCCCATGTTTAATGGAAGTGCCCGCTCGTCGCTGCAGACCGTCTGCAGCCGCTCTCGCTTTGTGTTTCCCCTACAATTATACTCGCTTTGAATGGCAGAGAGGAGGCGAGGGGAGAAAGGGGGCGGCACGGAGATCTGAGACAATCCGCATTCCTGTGGGGGTAGAGCGGCTCCAGCGCTCCGCCACTACCCGCGGACTCAGCCCACCTTCCGGGGGGAGGGAGGAAAAAGAAAAAAGAAAGAAAGAAAAAAAAAGCGAATGAAAAAGAGAAAAATGCTACTTTGTTTTTGTTGTTGTTGTTTTTTTCCCCTTTTATTAACGGCGATGTTAGCAGTAGCAGGAGTGAACGGGAAAGCGTTGAGAGCGTAATTGAATTTCTGGGGACGTGTGCTTCGAGGACCACGTGTGTGTGAGTCTGCGCAGGTGGAACGCGCTGCGATGCGAGCGCACGACGCCGCGTCTGACCAGCGCTGACCCCAATGCTTGTTCCACCTGACACACAATCCTCCTTGCCGATTGCAGCCTGCATGCACGCACATGCACTCTGATGCAAAGTGCTGCGGACAGACAATGCTTGTGTGAGTCTAAAGCCCCGCGGTGCCTTTCTGTGGCCCTTACTTCTGCTGCGGGTCAAATGAAGCGTCGCCAGCAAATATCCATTGCGGGTCATTCCAGGAAATTTAAACCTCACACACATTGTACTTGTTTTTTTTTTTTTTTTTTTTTTTTTTTTTTGAGGGGGCAAATATGTGCGCGGCTGTTTCTTTCCAAACACAAACACACACACACACCTCAAACGCGCAAACTAGAGGTGCCATTACACCGAGAGAGCTGCTCCGTTTATTTTCAACCGAACATTTTCCACTCAGCCAGCCCCCCACCCAGCCCTGCAGCCCCCCTCCCCCCAGCCCACCGCCAGTTTTTTTGCAAATCGGGTCTAAATAATGACAGTTACGCTTTACTGGACAGCTTCAACTGTAACACTCCACAATAATTATTCTGCAGGATTAGGGGGGGAGTGGGGCTCCATTATCATAATCTGGACATTGACAATTACCTATAATTTGCAAAGATGCGCTTGGTTCTTGATTGCAGAGAGGGCTCTCTCTTTTTTTTTTTTTTCTCGAGCTCGCCATCACTAAACAGTGACAGTAATAACAGCTAATTTTGCAGGCAATATATATAAGAGCTTACCAGGGTGTGCAAACACACTTTCCCACCTGGATTTTGCTTATTCCACCAGCAGCGGCGAAGCTGCGCAGCGCGGGAGCCTTTTTTTTTAATTTATTTTTTTATCTTTTGGTGGTGGACAGAAAAGCGGAAGAAGAGGAAGGTAAGCGTGAATCTTCTTACAGCTTCCCTGACCAACCTCAGCTCTCTTGACTTTGAAGAATGGAAACGGTGACCCATAGCTGCAATGTGTTTGGGGGAGGAGGGAGGGAGATATGCACGCGGAAATATCAGTCTCGTCTCTTTCCCTGCATTATAAAGAGTCTATGCGCATACACCTTTACGAGGCGACATCAAGGTGGAAATGTTCAGATTTTAGTCTTTGAGATTTGTGCCGATATGCATCAGCTGCTGCAGGATGCTTGTGACACATGACTCTGCAACCACACCCCCATCGACTGCACCCTCAACCCTCCATCATCCACATCTATCTATCTATCTATCTATCTATCTATCTATCTATCTATCTATCTATCTATCTATCTATCTATCTATCTATCTATCTATCTATCTATCTATCTATCTATCTATCTATCTATCTATCTATCTATCTATCTATCTATCTATCTATCTATCTATCTATCTATCTATCTATCTATCTATCTATCTATCTATCTATCTATCTATCTATCTATCTATCTATCTATCTATCTATCTATCTATCTATCTATCTATCTATCTTTCTATCCATCCATCCATCCATCCATCCATCCATCCATCCATCCATCCATCCATCCATCCATCCATCCATCCATCCATCCATCCATCCATCCAGAAACATCACTCCATGCATCCGTTTCTGCAGAAACTGAATTCTTTTTTCTCTCTCTCTCTCTCTTTTTTTTTTTTTTTGCATTCCTCTCAATGTGCCAAACACTCTCTTTATGAGCTGTGTTGATGTTTACTCGACCGCAGCTACTGGCTCCCTGGAGCCCGGTTGCACGTACCCCCCATCCCATCCCCCCATCTCCCCGTACCCAACCGTGGGGGCCCCCCCAGTGCAGGTAAAAAGAACCAGAATGAGCGCCAGTGAGACATCCGCGACTTTGACAGCTGCATGGAGCTCCCCCCCCCTTTTTTTTCTTCCTAGAGTCGTAATTTCAGATAATATCCCGAGCCGTGCGCCTTCTCCTCTCTCTGACAATTTGTATATGAATAACCGAATAATTTCCCCCCCTTTTGTTCCATCCGTTGCTACCTCAAATCCAAATAAAGATGGCTTTTTAGTATTAAAAGTGGTAGAAAATTACAGGTAATTATCTTTGACGGTAAAAACGCTGTAATCAGCGGGGCTACATCAAAAATTACCCTAATTATGCCTGCATTTATGAGAATGGAGGGGTGGAAAAAAAAAGAGGAGAAAAAAAAAGGCTCACTTGGATAAAAACCCACAAATTGTCCCAAATATCTCCTTCATATTGAACGCCGCTGCAGCTGGCTGCTTTGTTCAAGCATCGATCCCTGTGGAGCTTGGCATTTTAGGACGGAGGGAAGGGAGAAAACATTTTGTCAATACTTCTAATAATTGAGGGTGAAGCGACGAGATGAGCTGGACCTGGAGCAAATGTCTTTCGGGGGGTAAGTTAATTTCCTCTGGCGTTGAGTGAGTGCATTTGATTTCTTTTTTTTTTTTTAAATACTGGCGTTTCTCCGTCACCCCACTGAGTTCATCTAAAATGTTTGATGAAATGTTTTTTTTATCTTCTTCACTGAGCACCGTGCTATAAACTTGTATGCGCCAGTGTGATGCGCCGATGTGATGTTGGCCCAATAGAAAAACCACGAAAAAGGCCTGAGATGAATATAATCTCTCTCTCTCTGTCTCTCTCTCTATCTCTCGTTGGTGGAAATCATGCAAACAGCAGGCGTCTTGTTTTGAGTCACGGTTTTACTCATTCTGACAAAACATAAAAAGTGTATGTACAACTAAAGTCGCAGAATATATTTACAGACACTTTTGCTCGGTTTTGCATGTTGGGAAAAAAAACAACAACAACAAAAAAAATGCAGTCAAAGGGGTGTTGTTATTATGGCAAAAGAAAAAAAAATCTCTTTGTTTTTTCCAGTCAGTGATGGTGCACCGATACGTCTTTTCCTCCCCCTCACCCCCACGTTCCCCCCCCCTCCTCCTGTTCCTCCTCCAGCCCCCCTAAAAACAAATACAAAAAAAAAAATGTCACTGGCAATATTTGGTATATTCAGACATGAATGAAAGCATGACAAAAACGTGCCAAATCAACAGCCATGTACGCTTGAAAAAAAAAACCAAAAACCAAAAAACCCAATAAGTCCCACTTTAGTTTGTGTCCCTGCACCGAGGCTTGGCTGGTTTAATCCTCCAGCAGAGGAGCGGCTCGCTCTCGCTCCTCTCCAGCGTCCAAAGTGTAGGCTACGTTGCGGGAAAAAAAAGGAGATCCCGCAGAAAAAGGGCCTCCATGCAGACTGCCTTTGCTGACCCCCACCCCACCCCCACCCCTCCGTTTGGCCCTCGCCAGTCTATCTCTGCATCGAATCTTGATGTGGAGACGAGTACCAGTGAGAGTAGCCGGGCATGTAGCTGTTGGCCGGCATGTTCACTCCTTTGGAAGAGGCCGAAACGTCCCAGATCGGAGGGATGGTTGGGGAGCGCGGGGATAAGGACATGGAGCCCGGGATGGGGTCGCTCTCGTGCGGGTTGCTGCCTTGCTTCAGCAGCTTCTTGAACTTCGACCTCTTGTTTTGGAACCAGATCTTCACCTGCGGGGACGAGAGGAAATCGTTTTATTGAGCCAGCATTGCAGGTTGTCAGCAGTGGGTCTTTGGTTCAGACTGTATGGCTTTCTGCCCAGGGCAGCCAATCAGGTGGGGCGCCAGAGACGAGATTTCTGTTATGAATTGGCTAAATTGCGTTAGTTTTATTGATTTCCTTATTTTTCAGGACTCATTGTCAGAGTTGAGCATCTCTTGCTCTAAGTGTTTCTAATCTGCACTATGGCTCAATGCAATCTTAGATCAATGTAACATCGTGTGCAAAAATAGCGGTTTCATTAGTTTGTTGGCATAAGAACAAGAAGAATGATGGACGATAATGTCTCCATTTAAAAAAAAGAATGCTTTCTTTTTGTTTTTATTTATTATTATCATTAAAAATATCGTCTTTCTAAAAGCAAAAAAGACGACTCAATCAAAGCAGAGTGGTGCTGTGTGTTTGCGCGTGGGGCAGCGGAAGCCGCTGTCACAGCAAGGTGTCGACAAATGCAGAAATATGCGTCCTACCTGCGTTTGCGTCAGTCCCAGAGAGGCCGCCAGCTCGGCGCGCTCGGGCAAAGCGAGGTACTGGGTTTGCTGGAATCGGTGGTTCAGTGCCTGGAGCTGCAAGCTGGAGTAGATCGTCCGCGGCTTGCGTATCTTCTTCCCCTTTCCGTTAAACCGAATCTCCCCGTTTTCAATCACTGTCGTCTTCTGCTGCTCTGCATCAAACACAAGCAATGCGATTAGTCCAAAAAGGAAGCCACGCAGCGAGAGCAGAATCGTGTGCTGGGTTTTCTGTTAAAACAATGATAACATAAAAATATATATAAATAATAATTAAAAAAATCAACAACACAGAAGCAGTGCAAAAAGAAATCGAGAAATTGCTGCTGATAAAACGTCCACATCTCTCTCTCCCCTTCTCTCTCTTTCTCTGGCTTTCCGCTGCAGCCAACAATCCGCATGTGCTGTCATATTTAGGATATTGCTGGTAATGACATGTCAATTAAATGCTAATTACAACATTCGAGGCGTGCAGGCTGCCTAATTTTCACGAGTAGTTGGTGAGGATTGCGTGGTCGAGATGATCACACCCAGGGCATTAAATCAGAGGTTTTGTGGAGGGGAGTGCTGGAAAAAAACACACAAATAAGCAACAAAGAAGCGGGCGAACAAGGCAGCTCCTTGGATTTATCCGGTGCGTTTTTACGCACGGCTTAGGGGAAGAAGAAGAAGAAGAAGAAGGAGGAGGAGGAAAAGATAGCTCCAGGCGTTGGATCGTCGGAGGTAAAAACAAAAACAACAACAAACTAATAAAAAAGCAAAGGTTCGATCCGGGTTGCTAAAGCTTAAACAGGTACGCCGCTAATTGCAATTAGACAAGGCTGGAGGAGGAGGTCTCTTACCTGCGCCGTCTAACCGCGTCTGTCCCCCCGCGTTGTTGTGATAGGACGGCAGGTAGGGGCTATGGTGCGGATGGCTCACGTATGGGTAAGGTAGCGACCGGTTGTAGGTGTTGGTCCCGGGGTACGCGGTGCTGTCGTGCTGGTGGTGAGAGTGCGATCCGGAGTGGAGGCAGTGCAGCGGGTAGTGGCCGCCGGCCATCGACGGGGAGCTCTGCTGCGAGTGCGACTGCTGCCCAAACTCCATGAACGCGGACTTGGACGAGTCCTGAGCCTCCAGACCGTCAGCCATCGTTGTCATGGTCATCATCGAATTTTCTGCCTTGAGAGCACTCACCCCCCCCCACCCCCTCCTCTCTCAAGACCAAATCGCTTTTTCGCTCTCTCGCTGTGCTGTTGTCTCTTCCTCCCCCCTTTCTCCTATTAACACCCCAAATTTCCCGATGCCGTCTTTACCCACCCCCCCTCATCAGCCCTCCTCTCTTGTCCCGCGGTATTCTCACTCAAAGTGGCGGAAGGTAGACATAAGTTAAGGGAGAGATTTTAAGGTGGATTCTGTTAAAATTGAGCCCTCGCTTGCAGACTTGATGCAGACACTACAAGTAAAATGGTTTGTCTCCAAAGGGCAGCGCCTCCCGATTGGTCATCCAGCCCAACGTCATCAGTTCTCTGCGCTTTTTACGGAGACTTGAGCTGGAGTTAACCCACGTTACCAGCTCCCACCACAAATGAGGGGGGTGTGGGGGAGAAAAACAATATGTGGTGGGGAAAGACGCCTAATTCCTATAGACACGCGTAGAAAACAGCTCCGGTGGATGCGCAGAGGCGATTCTGTTTTCTTCCTTCCTTCCTTCTTTCTGTCTTTTTCTTTGGCGTCGTAGCGGGAAATTACGCACGCCGCGTAACACCGAGCTCACTTTAATTAAGTCAGACGAGGTGGCAGAATGTATGCATCCATCTCAGTTAGGTCACCCCTCATCAAGGAACTAATTGGAGACAAGAAAGTGTCGCCATATTTTGGGACTGAGGAAAAAAAAAACGCAAACAAACTGGACACCTCAAGAGAATGTTGTTAAACAAATGCTTTTGAGGGAAACTGCATTTTTTAAAATGTATTTTTTCCCCTAAAAGGTTATTTTTTAAGATAATAATTATTCTTATCATAATGGGTTTACATTATTATTATTATTATTATTATTATTATTATTATTATTATTATTATTATTATTATTATTATTATTATTATTATTATTATCAGTAGTGGTAGTAATAGTAATATTAACATTGTTATAAAGCATGTTACATTTTTCTCTTTAATTGTTAATTACAGATTAACAACTACATTATTATTATTATTATTATTATTATTATTATTATTATTATTATTATTATTATTATTATTATTATTATTATTATTATTATTATTATTATTATCTGTTTTTGTACTCCAGTCAGTTTGCTTTGATGTTGTAAACTGAGCGGTCCCCTCTGCACCCCCCGCCACCACCACAAAGTTACATATATTATAGCAGGAGCTACTGACCATGTGATTAGAGATCCCCTCAAATGATTCAAAATGCAGCACGTGTGACACATCAAACAACAATATGCCCAAGGTACAATAGGTTATTTTTGCAAAAGGGAAGGCTGGATACAAAGATAAGCTGACAGTGTCTTTTATCCCAGTTGGATCGTGAGGCCCGATATGGTCCTCAATATATGTAAATTATACACTTTGCGTGTATAAAAAAAAATCCAACAGAACAAACACACACACACACACAAAATACGCAAGAATACAGATGTTATTTCCCTCTGAAGTGCTGTAGTGTGCAATAAAAAAAATGTTTTTTTTGTTTGTTTGTTTTTTTACTTTTACTACTTGCAACATTTTTTTTGCAGCGTTTATGATTTCCCCAGAAGAAAAAGAAGAAGAAGAGAAAAAAAAAGAAGGCTATGAAAAAATAATTACGCCAGCAATCAAGTTACAGCAAAAACCTATTTGATTAGCGGGCCACACTTTACTCAAATTGCAGCTATAAAATTAAGAACAATTCGCCTGTAATGATTATGGACTTGGATTTATTTTGGGGAGGGTGGAATAAAAGTGGATATAGCATAAATTATCCCCTAATTATACGCCAGTGTGGCCTCAATTATCCTCTTATCAAAAATGGTTGTCTAAATGCAGCGTTTAGTTTCAATTTTCTCCCTTATCCCCCCCCACCCCCTCCTCCTGAAACAAGAACTTGGTACCTTGCTATTATCGTCATTCTACTGATGTTATTTACTTTGTGGGATTTAAAGAGTGCGCAAGCCAGCCGGATAATCATTTTCTCCGAGCGCAGGTTCCCCTAGAAAGGAGCGTGCAGGCGACCAAGAGAGCAGAAGACACGCAGACGGATTTGGTTTTGCTGTTTTCTCCTCAAACGTCTTTTACATCGATTTTCGTTTTTTCTTTTTCTTTTTTTTTAATCGTGGGAGCTGCAGGTAAGACCTTCCTTTGGGTGCTTTTACGCCCCTCCTTCTCAACCTATACCTGTGCCGATAAATTATTTGACTGCGTTTGACGACTCGGGCTCTCACAGCCACGTTGGCCTCGCAGAAGTCTGCACGCCTCGGTCACCCCTCAGTGATCTGACACAGTGGCCGGTTGCCCCCCTCCCAGCTACCCGAGTTCCACTTGGACACGCAGAGGAGAAACCAGATCCTCCAGCCTTTCTAATCGCCCATTGAGTGCTACTACAAAGACGTACATGCTTTGCAGGGACGTCGCTCGCTTCCCTGTGGGTTGAAAAAAAAAAAAAAAAAAACAAGCCCAACAACAAAAACGATGGGTTCGATAATTATGCGGAACATCCTCGTTTTTTTTCTATTTCTTGTCCTTTACTTTTTCTTGGTGTCGTGCTCACCATTTGCGTGCATTGCCCGGTAACTGTGCGAGATTTTTGTTTCTTGTGCAACACCGAGATTGAGGTATAAGTGTGAGGAACATGGTTATTATTATTATTGTTATTATTATTATTATTGACCCCCTAAATGCACATAAAAGAAGGACATTTCAAAAACAAATACGCGGTTGTTGCTTTTTAATTCAGAAAGTCAGGGTCTTATCCAGGTGCGGCTCCAGAGTGTTTTTGAATGGGCTGGTGGGGGGTATAGGAGGTGGGGGGTTGGGGTGTAGGGGGTGGGGGGTGGCGGTGTGTGAGGAAGTAATGATCAGCGACACACTAAAACTGAAAGACGTCCAAATATTTCCGTGGATTTTTATGAATGTTTTGGATTTTCATATATGTTTGGGGCCATTACACCACTGCCCTTGCAGGAGATTTTATTATTATGATTATAATTAGTATTTTTTTTAAAGCCACACAATTCAGCTCATAAATACTGTGCAACAATGTCAGATAAATATTGATAAATAAATAAGTGAAGAAACATACAAGAAAATAAACTTTCAGCTCTCTGAAATTTGCACTTGAATTTTTTTAAAGAATTTATATATATATATATATATATATATATATATATATATATATATATATATATAATATATATATATAATATATATATATATATATATATATATAATATATATATATATATATATATATATATATATATATATATATATATATACACAAGGCTCAGTACCATCGCCAGCCCTCCCTCCCGCTCCCTTGGTGGCGCCACTGCATCCTCTCGGTCCGCGCTTCACCTGTCGTACCCTGCCTGCCGCTTTCCCCCATCCTAATGATCCTGCATTATAACAGTTCACAGCCTCATCCGCCGGAGAGACATTATTTCATATTTTGCAACGTCAAAGTGTCAATCACAAAATCAGCCGCTGTAGACCTAAAAATCACCCGGTTCCTAAGTAGATGATTGACCTTCAGAACAATCAATGCCCGCGGTGGTTTGTCAGAAGTGGTCTTCATATCCAGCTGTCTTCTGCACACGCTGATGAATGACTCTCTGAAGATTAAAAAAAAAAAAAAAAAGAAAAAAAATTACTTTTGGTATCCCACTGCTGGGACCGGATCAGGCCCCGGGATTTCCCCGACACCCACTGTCTGCCACGGGACGCGTGAAAACTGAGAGCCTTTACATTTAAGACTGAAACCTGCCTGACGACACGCTGTTTTGGTGGTGGAGGGTTTATGGGACAGGCAGCTTGAAATGTCAGCATGGATGCAGTGATTTATAGAAAGGCGTTAAAGGAGACAGATTTATGGATATGATCAGTAAAAAAGAAAAAAAAAATCCTTTGCTTCTTTCTGAATGCGTCTCGCCACATGTGTTAGTCATATCTGAAAGTTAACACATGGGTCCAGCGGGGACAGAGCTCAAAATTGGAACAAGCGGTCGCGCGTTTGCGGTCGCCGTGACAGCAATTGAGTGGGGGACCGAACCCCCCGGATTCCCTGGGACCGGGACGGACCTCAACAACGTGTCCTCTTCTCCTTCACAGCGCAAAAGCCACAGGCGTCGACATGCTCGCCATTTCTGGCCAGAGAAGGACGGGAAGAGGCGCGAACGCACACCGCAACACAGCTGTGACCATAATGTGGGTCACGGTCGGAGCCGGCCCAAGGCATTAGCGAACAAAGCTGCTTTATGGACCCCCGAGTATCTGGCTAACTTACGACACCACGAATGCTCATGCTAATTGTAGGATCATTTGCTTTTCGTTTAAAAATCAAATCAAGAGCGTTCAAGAATGATGTTATTGTTATAATAATAATAATACCAATAATAATAATGTAGTGCTGACTTAAAGGTGCCACCCTGACTTCTGTAAACTCAAAGTGGCTTCATGTAAAGTTTGTCATCCACACCACGTCAAGGCCAGTTCTGTTTGCTTGACTGATATTTTGTAAAATATGATTTATTCAAGATAAAAAAAAAATAAATAAAAACTTTGCTCCAAAATCAGGCCTCCATGTGCGCGTGAATCTGGTGACATCATGAAAGGCATGAGGGAAAATGTCCAAGTTTTAAATCAAATTTCTCCTCGTGTCCTTTGGTCATCTTCATTCCAGTGTCAAATAAAAAAACGTGTCAAAACGTTCCTGAAAAACAAAACAAACAAACAAAAAAACAAACAAACAAAAAAATGCTGATATGAAAGTCCATGTGTCATTACACAGCTGTGCTGCAAATACACCGGCATATTTGTTGGGAAAGCATTTTTTTTAATGCTGCTGTCTTAATCAAGTCTGCTTCGTGTGTTTGAGTCGGAGTCGTTTTTATGAGCAGTTTAGCAGTAAACTCTTTAATAAAGTGTGTAAACTGGAATTGGGAACACAAATCAAACCCCACCCACCTCCACCCCCGTGCCATCTTTAGCACTGGGTTCAGTCTGACCAGACCCCCCCCCCCCCCCCTTCATAGCCCTTAAAACAAACGCGAAAACATCATCTCCGACCCGTGCACAA